TTTTCCCTTTCTCCCTGACGATCCCTCTCAGCCTCTCAGCACTTTCATCCTGCTTTCCACCGATCCCGATCCGAACCAATATCGAATTTCGCTCTGCCGCTTTGCCAATCAATGGACGAAATGTGAATGATTTGTTTGTTGGCATTTTGGCTGCCAATTGTCCGGAGTCCGGAGGCTGCTACTGCCACTGCTGCTGCACTTTCCCAAGCCCCGAGAAGAATGGACGGATGGAAAAATGTGCAACGAGGAAATCTGATATTTTTTTTCTTCTTTTCGTTATGTTGGTGAGACAGCTTGGAAAATTGCTAGGGACGAGGCAGGCCAAACGAAAATTCGTGGTAAAATTATGGAAAAAAGATCGAAGAAAAACTGTCACGACTGCTAACGAGTAATGCCATCCCCGTCAAGTCAAAGGTCGCCCAAATTTGTCTCAGAAAAAACCGCTTAATTGGTAAGGGGTTGGGTGGAATGGGTTGGATTTGGGATGGGGTTACCGGGAGGGCAGCTGCCTGTCTGCGCCTTTGACTGACAACAGCCACACCTAAGTAAACCCCGGGCCGGAATGGTGGAACCCCCGACAGGAATCTTATCGTGCTCCAAGCTGTCTGCCACCGGAAATGAGCCGCAAGTTCTGTTTTCACAGGCTGCGACCACTTGACCCCGCAACCCGCTTGGCAGTGACACCGTAAAGGAGAATCAAAGCGACCGAATTGGATACCCAGAGGAGTCTTGCACCCCTTTGTCACTCCTTTGCCCCCGCGTTGCCTTTGGGCAAAATGTTTTACATCAATTTCTGGTTAATGGCAGGGGAGTGCCGTCGCAGCATCACACTTACCCCGGACTGTCAAATAATTATGACAAGTTCATTTCGCCGCACTTTCGCCCATTTGTTTAGCTCCCATTCTATATCTATTTTTTCCCAATTTTACCCAGAATTCCTGTAAGCGAACGCAGTCCCCCGGAGAAGATCTTGGATCCATCCCCGCACCAATTACCGGAGCGTTGTAAGATGCTCCCGGTGCTTTTGATGTGACAGATGCGTGTCCGTGTTGTCGTTGAGCCATATTGCTCCATCTATATGGATTTGCTCTATATAAATGTGAAGAAATACCCAGGATTTGGCAATAAACCAGCTTGCTGAAAGGTACTTTTGTCCCTACTCGAAAGTATGCTAAGAAATTCGAGAATTTCGAACTTGAAATTAAAAGTTTATATGAATAATAAATGCATATAGCCCTCATTATAAGAGATCTCAAATGTTGAAATTCTGTGACATGTTTGAAGTTTGATTGTCTTTGCAGTTTTGTGCTGTGGATATTTGTGATCTGATCGACGGCTCTCAAGAGAAAGATTAATTGATATCTTTTGTTATATCTTAATAAACATAAACGTGGTCCTAGTTACATTTAATATTTATAAGGTATATGCTTGTTTTGTTCTTCCAGTCGTTAGACCATCGGATTTTTTATATTACTAGTCTCAATATTACAATTGTTCCTTCAAAATACCTAACCTTGTATCTTCTTTTTAATATGTTAATATTTCTTAATCATAATGGTTTTAAATAGAGAAATCATACGACACAATAGCTTTTAAATTGGTTATACTATAGTTCCCAGATCTAGATACTTCGACATCCATTAGATCGGTGCTCTGGTGACAGCAGGTGATCCATTCCGCGTATTTATTCACCTGGCAAAGAGTTGCTGTACTATATTTGGGTTAGTTTTGGCTATCTATAGACCAGCGTTAGCTCAAAATATGCTGTCGAAAGTGACAATTGATTGGGCACAGACCTTTTGGTAGCTGGCCGGGACTATTTTCGGGCACTGCCACCATTCAAATTTAGACCAGGAGACAACAATGAGACAATGAGTCACATGGCTGGAGGCAGACAAAGCAAATCCCTGGCAAAATGGCCACAACAAGGTACAAATATTTGCAATCATTAGAGGGCATTAGAGATCAAAATCCAGCGGATGAGAAGGAACAGAAGACATTCATCACAGACAGGTTGCTCTAATTTTTCATTTCACATCATCATCTGCAGACAGGCGACATAAAACAGGATAAAAACAGGACCAGTTGAGCGGATTATGAGCTGGAAACTGGAACAAAGGAGGTCGAGAGGGCGAGGGCCTAAGGGATAAACCTTCGGCACGACATTTTCTAGTGCTGTAATTCTAGCATGATGCATGCAAATTTATGCCATATATATTAATATTTATATGTTTGTGGTTTTTCCTTCGGATATGACGTCACAATCGGGTCACAAGGACGTTGTTGTTAGCGGAATTATGTCAGGCGAAAAGCGAGCGATAAGCCTTGTAAACAAGTCTCAAGTATAATTTAATGTAAAGTGGAATTAAAACATGAGGCAACTCTATAAATTGAATCCTTTTTAAAGGTCTAGAAATGCATCTAAGGTGGCTCTGCAGTTTCCTCGGTAAAACTTATGTGATAATTATCTTTATGGCAATCATCCAAATAACTCGTGCCAGTCTCTGGATAAGAGCTTCCATATTGAGCTCCAAATTTGTTTATTGACTCTGTCTCGACCATGGCTACTGCAAAAATCTTGCCCAACTCAGCGGAGCTGGCGGAGCTTTTGGGTAAACAAACAAATAAACAAACAAACAAGTTTATTTGTTTGATCGACAGTGAGCTCGAGGAGTGTCTTGATCCCGGACAGGAACAGGTAGTAGAGTAAAGAAGATCGATGCAGGAAAAGAGATTGAGGAGACGCACTTCCCGTGCCACGCCCCAGACAAACATTTGCACTCTTAAGCCGGAGGACAAAGGCGGATTATAGCAGCAGCAGGGAGATGATGGGCCTGGGATTCCTAAGGGATTCTGAGATTTCATAGATTTTGTAAAAATTGTCGCCGTAGGACATTTGCACTGGGACTATAATGAGCGGAGAAGCTCCAATAGGCGGGGGTAGCATTTAATTTTAATTTTCCTAACAAATCCCAGGGCGTGGCTGAAATGGAGCAGCCAAACCAAGCCGCAAACGAGAAACGAATTACAAAATTTTCGTCGAAAAAAACCCGCAGAGCTGAAAGTCCTGCGGGCAAGGCAAACATTCAGGGAGTACGAGCAGGGGGCTGAAGGGGGACAACACGGGGGGCTGAAGGACTACCTCCAGGTCCCAGGATCTGTGTACCCTGCCTCTGTCCCGCTGCTGCCTGCATTGTTTGTTGTTATAATGGCGAACGAAAAGCGCAAGGCATCTGCACGGCGTTGTCCTTTTGTACATTTTGCTGCTGCTCCTTTCTGACTACTCAAATTTCAATGAAATTATCCTCACGGCATTCGTCTCTCTCACTCCGTATTCCTGTATGTGTGTGTGTGTGTGTGCTCAACAATGCCGAATACAAAAAAATTTTCGCTGAAATTATTTGCTAATGGCTTCGGCAAACGCGACTCGTCCTTTTTTTGCATTTACATTTATGAGATTTTCGTGTTGTCTCCTCTCCCAATGCTGACACATAGATACCCGAAAAAAATGGCGGCATTTGACGCTTTTTGTGGCAGCGTTTTTGGCTTTCTGCCTTTCGTCCTTCCGCCGCGCCATCGATGGCAGCCATTTTGGAACATTCTGTGTGTTGTCCGTGACAACAACATCGCAAATTGCTTCGCCCAGCAAACTTTGCTCAAATTACGCAGAATGGCGAAGGTCCTGGCGCTGTGCGGGAGCTGCCTGGGCAACGGCAGCCTAGGAAATCGACAGACAGGAACTCACTCGGAGCAACAAAAAGAAAAGAACGGGGACAGAGACCCAAAACCTGACTGTCAATCAAAAAGAGGAATTCGCCAGAAACAGAAATCCCGATCTGGAGATCTAGCTCCTTTAGTTTCAGCCCTTGACCTAGTGCCTTCTCGAGCTGATCCTTTTTTGCGGTTTTATTTCTGGTCAAATGATTCCCACTCGATCGACAGGATATCTCTACTCTCTCTCTCTGTAGCCTTTTGTGCTCGCTTAAGCTGAAAATTCCCTTTTGACTACTGTCTGCATTGTTCCTGCGTTTAAAGGATCAGCACTGGGCAAATGCGCAGTAGCATCGTTGATTTCTTACAGTTCACTGTACGGTGAGCATCCTATCATTCACGATCATCGGCTACCAGTCTCTCGGAGCTAGGAACTCGCATTAAGGGATCGTAATTATGAATATTTGATGCGGAAAATATGATTGGGAGCACTCAGAGTCAGAAATTAGGAGTGTAGTGAGTCTAAGGAGCTAACCAGGATCTGTAGATTTGGCTTTTGAAATCAGATTTTTTTAAGAGAACCCGCGTGGATTATGCAATCTCTGTGTGGTCCAGCAAAAGGATATATTTTTTTGACTGATCATTTATCAGAAGAGGCTTATTCCTGCATGATTATGTTGTATCAACAAAATATGGGTATGATTTAAACAACTTTGATACTTTGATTAATAATTTCATATAAAACTTTTACGAGTAATCATCCATCTAAAATCAGGTTTCATGAAATGAGTTACTAAAAAATAAATCACTTACTATATACACTGGTAAGGTATTATAAAATCGACCAGAAGTTGCAGCTAAATGAATGAAACTACTTAAAATTTTACAATATTAAACAGTATCAAGACGTATTAACCTAGACTTGTCCGTCGGTCTCTTTACTACTAGGTTCTAAGATTTTTTATTTTTAGGGTATAGCCCTTTTTTATTTCATAATTTACTATGGCAGTCAGAGGAACAATTAGAATATATATTCATTTAAATACTTTCATAAATGGAAATGTATCCTCATGTATTTCAATATTGATCGAAATTGTTTGACTTTATACTTCCTAATGCTAATTTAAGATCGGATTGACTAATTTTATGTAGGAAGCATAAAATATATTAACTTTAAATTCAAACTTCCCTTTCTGAATTTAATGATACTGCATTTTCCAACTTATAGCTTATTCATAAACTAGAATTGCATTTAAACAATAAGATATATATTTTTGACTTTTACTCACTTTGTAGTAATCCAGTGTTGAAAAGTTTTGGTAGCACGGTACATTATACAACATATTCCAAGTGTTGTGGCTGGTGTGGTCGCTGCTCCTGCGACTTCCAATTCCTGGAAATGTGGATCCTGCTGAATCCAGTGGAAATGTCAGATGGCACAGGGTAAGAGAGTCATTTCCACGATACAAATATTTCTATTATTATTATTATTTATATTTTTATATACGCGCACACACGTGTTCCAATTGGAATAATTTCGAAAAGTTGATTGCAGATTAATTTATTAATTCAAGCCTATTCCGTTTTATTGCACGAGACGCACGACACCAGCGAGCAGTGAGCGATGGATGGACATTAAAGTGTGTTAAGTGAGCAGTTCCGTTACGCAAATTAATTCGTGCCAAATTAATTCGTATGATGTGAATTGTTTATTTTTCGGTTTCGTCTCTGTTTCTTATCTGGGCGCTGAGCCGACGGGGAAAAGCTCTGGCAGCAGTAAATGGTCGATCGTCCGCTCTCGCCACGAGTGTTTTGTTTTATTAAAACAATTGTGTGTCAACTGATTCCAGCTCGGGATTCCAGCCCAGGAAAGCACTCATCGCCGAAAAGCACTCATCTCGGTGGCAAAGCTGTCTCTCCCTCGCTCTCCCATCCCCACCCCACCCATGCAAGAGTCACTCGATCTTCGTTGTTGCTCTGTTGCCATCTCGCTCCGAGCTATGTCTGCCCTTTGGCACTGGGTCGCTCTCGCTCACACCTTAGGGCGCAGTGCTTCAGTCGGTTTTGAGTGAGTTTTTTGTTTTTGGTTTGCTTTTAGGGCGGTGCATCAGGATTCGCTTTTAATTTCACTCATCGGGAGAGCGTAACGGAACATTTCAGGCAGGACCTGATACACATACACAAGCGACGTCCTGGGCGCCTCAGGATACCCTTTTCCACACAATGTTGTTGTTGAGAAACTGTCGCAGTTCTAACTACGAGTAAAAGCTTTGAACTAGTGTCCAATCTTTGCATATTTAATGTTGTATTTTCTGTCATTTGAATTTAAGCACTGTTTTTTAATAACTAATAATTACCGAAATTTAAAAATCTTATAATTAAGCGAAAAAAGCATTAATTTTATTCGGAAAGCTATCCCGTGTTACTTTTTATAGGTTAATAACTCTGCATACTCATTTAAAAATTTGGAAATTAGAATTTTTGTCAATTTTCGAAAATTTTAATATAACCCTTTTAAATTTTCAAATTTTTGAAAAAATTTGGAAATTTATTTTTTGACCGGACGTGGCTAGACCGACTTGGCTGTTGATGCTGATCAAGAATATATATGATTTATATGGTCGGAAATGACTCCTTCATAGCTTTACAAGCTTCTGAATAAAATTATATACCCTGCAAGGGTATACAAATTTATTATTAACTATCACTGAACTTTTGATCTTTAAACATTTGTTGTTTTGTTTTTGTAAATATTACCAAAGGATTGTGTAAAAGACCAAGTTGGCAGACCGGTAACGAATCGGTAACGGAACATTTGGCCAAAATAATAAGAGACACTTTTTAGGCAAGTTGACAGTTCTGTTCGTTTTGACAGTAGGGCTTCCTGGAAGCCTTTTTCTGTCCCCGGGGACCTTCCACGAACGGTTCTGGGCCTCCTTTTTTTCCGGCCCTCTGGCTAACCCAATTTGGCAACACTTGATTGGGCGCCAGGCGAAACGTCAAGTCCCATTAGTCTGGCCAATTTTGGGATATTACGGACAGCTCCAAGCCGCTGGTCTTTAGCCAAAAAATCACAGCGCAGACTAGGAGACATAAGGTCGATTTTGTCTCCTCTTTGGTTGCCTTTGTTTCATGCCATTGGGGTTTTGTTTTCTTCTTATTATTATTATTATTTTATTTTTTTTGGACTGGCGTCTGGACGACGACGACGACAACGATCTTGGAGCAAGTTATCCCTGCACGCCCCAGTGCGTCGCGACAGTTGTTAACGTGTTTAATTAGCCCTGCAAATTCAATGAATTGCGACAGTAACAGTTAGGCTTAACAACACAACACACTACATCCCCCCCCCTGCCCTGGTCCTTCTGGCGACACTCCCTTGCCAAATATTTGTGCAGCCATTTTGAATTGTCCTGCTCCAGCTCCTGCTCCTGCTCCTGCGGGGAATCCTATCCTCCCCCGTCGGGCGCCTGCGCACCAAAAATCACTCAATTGGAATTTTAGAGGAGGGATGAGGCTATCGGGTTTGGTGTTGATGGGCGTCCACAAGGCGTGTTCCTAGTTCTGCACAACTTTAAGCTGTGAACTATAGGAAAATGTGGCTTTAAATTGGTTTCTAAGCAGGCGGAAGGAGAGGCAACAACCCCTAATGAGTTATATAAGATGGGCTCGGCCAGATTGTTTGTAGAATCTATGGCGAAGGGAAATGATTAGTAATTCGTTGGACGTAATGCCGGAGGAAAGTTATAATTGATATAATTGGATGAATATTCCCATATCCGACTAGGCATAATCAGATAGATTACCATGCCTCGAATGGAGAAGTCAATTAATTGTTTAATATTCATCTAAATGAAGCATACCGGGAAAGTCGTTGAATAATAGTACGATAAAGCTTAAAAATAGTTTATATATCCTTTTACATCTTATATATGTGAAATATAGTTGAATAATGTAATTATAATTGTACTTTATTTCTTTTTTTTCATCTTGTAGTTCATAGCTCTATCGAAAACTTGTCTATTGACATTTGAATTTCTTCTTTTAGAATTGTGAGCTTTGCTCAATTTTGCCTCCCTTCTCCCATTGCCTTCAATTGGATTTACTCTCAATTCGAATTCAACAACCAGTTGTTTTTATTGAAACGGCCAGAGGCATATTTTCATTCATAAAGCTCGAGCGACGTCAGCTGGGTAATAGGATTATGCAGGCAGCACACGTGCTCAGTGTCAGTGGACCCCACCTCCATCGCCGGCCCCAACTGGAACCCTCCTCCAGCTGCTCCAAGTCCAGACCCAGATGGAAGTTGGGGCTCAGTTGGCCAGTTCGAGTTAAGTGCAGAAATGCATCAGCAATCTTCGAACGCCGAACGCTGGGTCTCAAATGCTCGCTGCCTTTTTATTGCCTTGGCTCTTATTATTAGTGACGGATTTCCGAGTCATTAGACAAAGTTATGTCTTGGACCACCGCGTCTGTTTAAGCTACTTAAATGCGCCGCCCACAGTCCGAAGATTGGAGCTGGCCTGAAGCTGAAGCTGAATCTGTATCTGGAGTGGGCAGCGATCTCTCGAAGGGGAGTGACTTGCTCATGTCGCAGTTGACAGGCATCGGATTTGGGCCTTAAACAGCTCAGCATTTAATAAAGCAAATAAACTGATAAATGCCAACGATTGTGGGCCTAAATGCGACGCATTAATATCATGGAGAAATGCTTTCTTCAGGGAGAACTTCGGGTTCTTCGAGACCTCGGGGTTCTTAGGGGGTCACCCACGCCACTTAAACACAAATCAATAACTTTATTATACGAAAACAAACGGCCAGCAAAAGGAGCTGGGACCTGGGAAGCTGGATCCCTTCTTGTGGCCTGTTTTACGAGCTGAAAAGCGTCTTGTTTAACTGCCCGTACAATGAGCACCCGCTGGGCGCGTTAAGAAAAAATCACTTGGCATCGGAGCTGGCGACAGTGAGGAGGCAGACCCCAGTCTCCTCTCCATTGGGGACAAAAGGTGTAGGGTCCCTCAGCCTGACATTATTTATGCCCACGGGGTTCGGTCCAAGCGCCAGTTGACAGTAAGTCACCAGCGGGAAGAGCCGCCAGACAGCTGCCCGATGAGTCAGCGTCGAAAGGTGGTTTGGTGGTGGGTTTCCAGGTTTCCAAAGCAGCCAACTGTTGGGTGGAAACTATCAACTGGGACACCAGCAGCAGTAAGCTTTAAGGTACAGAGTTTTCCCAGGGGATTCATAGCTATTACTAATTGAAAGTGATAATGGATTAAGCGACTGGGTACAAGTGTTTCAAGAAGCAACTATTGGCTTTCCTTTATCATTTCTAATTAAATTAAATTATTTGCCAAATCAATAAATAAGTAAAGCACTTGAAAGCCATGTATCTCGGAGGATGAATCATAAGCAATTGGATATTCATTACATAAATATTTAAAGGCACAAAGAATCCCCATATCTGAGCCATATGTTTTGATAATGCCATTGCACCTGTTGATTCTACACACGCACACACAACACAAGGGAGGGCTGGCTGGCTGAATCCGAGGAAAACCCCTTTGTTTATCCCTTCGATTCGATACGCCCCCCGTTGTCGTTATTATGTCGCCTCTTATTGTTGCTATTGCCGCCCTGCGATTGTTGCTGTCGTCCACATACCTATCGCATCGAAGTTTATTGACTTTTGTGTAGACATTCTCGTTTGTGGATTTGGCTGATGTTTCTTTTTTTTAGTTTTGTTTAGCCGCTGGCAATGTAAACGGCGCCAGATTTCGATTTCCAGACAGTCACCAATATACACCCCATCGAGGTTCACACTCGCAACTGCTTATTTTCCGAAAGGGTCAAGTGTCAGACAGCCGAGGTCCCCGGCAGAGGAGGGGTTTACTCTAGAGCAAATTACACATTATAAATAAATAAATAAATAATATATAAATATCGTCTCGAGGAGCAACAGTCACAAATCAATAACGTTTGAATTAAGTGGGCTTAAGACTGGGTTAGAGTAAACTTTAATCCCTTTAATATATGTATTACATAAATTTATAAATGAAGATTATAAATAGTCTTCGAGAATCTTATAAGATAAATATTATTTGATGGTTAGTTACGGTTTTCATATAATTTATTTTAATCTTATGACAAATTTTGTGATATATTAGAAAGATTAAGCTTGAAGATTTAGCTATGTTAACTTAAAGTACTTTAAAAATAAGACATAGTTTTATATATTACACTTTCAGGATATCATAATATCATTCAGAAGTTCGCAACGTTGTGAAGGAGTCGTTTCCGACCCTATAAATTATATATATTCTTGATCAGCATAACAGGCGAATCGATCTAGCTATGTCTGGCAAAATTGATTTCTTTCCAATTTTAAAATTTTATAAGGTAACCCTTCGTTAAAATCGTTAAAATTTAAAAAATGTCAAAATTTTTTATTTTTAAAATTTAATATTTATCAGCCTTTTAACAACTAGCATAAAATGCAATCCGAATTAAAATAAACGCATTTTTGGCTAAGTTATGAACAATTGCATGTTCGGACTATGATCCTATGGCTTTCTGTAAGGATATATACACTCTGTTTTCCCTAAATTAGATTCCCTTTTTATTATATTAGTTTTAGACCCATAAATTGTAATTTCTTTGAAAACATTATTTTTTCTTACCTGAAGCAAATTAATATCTAACTATACAATTTGTTAAATGAGTGCAAATGTCATCATTTACCATTTGCTTAATAAAAAAGATACTAAACGAAGAAGGACTTATTCTAAGTCGCATACTCTGATCCACGATG